TTCGTTGGACCCGCTTCTTATCACACTTAGACCTGAAGTAGACCACATTCAGTCGTGAATCGGGCACGTCATCGCTGGTAATGCTGAGACCGGTGCGGGTACGTCGACGCCTCACATGGAAGTGCCTTCTTCGACCATCGAACGTTGACAAATACTCTCGATGGAGCTTTCCAATTGTGAGTTCCTAAAGGTTCCTGCCAGATAGTTCGATCGCGGTAGGCAGGCAGAGTGCTGGCCTGCCTTACCTCTCTGGGACCGTAAATTGGGTTCGTCCGGGAGGACAGGAACACTGACTTGTACATCGGCTGGCCCCCACATGGCGTTATATTGACTATATCTAATCCAATAAGCCTACGAAATCTGAGTGGGAGTGGAATGCGTGCCGCATCTCGGAAAGGGATCGATCAACGGCGAAAAATCTTCATCCTTATTTTTCGTGACCTAGAACATTTTAACGCTAGTTACCCATCTCAAAGTCAGGCTAGAATTTCGATTTGGCCAGTTGTTGGTCCTAGGGCGTACTTTGTTCTCACAAGAATGCTGAGTTGTGGGCAAAAGTCATGCCCCAGGCGGGGTCGAACCTGCACAAACCCCCAGGGCGAGTGCGCCATCCTTACGAACGACTTTTGCCCACAACTCAGCATTCTTGTGATAACATTCGGAACGCGTACTGCGGCGTTAAACAGCAGTTATCATACAAAACGTACTTTGTTCTGTTGAATACGAATATCGGATCTGATTAGCGCGAAAACCTCCGACGCAAGTGATGCGGTTGCGATGTTCTTGTTCGGGGGATGTGAACCTACTCCCAAGGAGAATTTCTTGCCAGATCTACCCCGGAAAGACAAATTTTCGAAAAATTCATATCATGAAACGGGGTCGTAACAAGTGAGCCATGTCAAAAATGCTTCTCCATACTTTAAATTTACTTGTAAAAGAGGATTGGAGGTTTGACCTCTAAAGTACTATGCCATACCCAACATAGTGCTTGCAGAAAACGCAGCGATATCTTCCCTTTCGCGGATTGAAAGCTGATAAACTAAGGTTTTCCATCCTCGTGCTCTCATTTCCCTACTCGTCCATTGCGGCACTCCTTTTGTTCTCTTCTGATGTGGAAAGACTTCAACTCACCTTTTCAATAAGAACTTCGACCCGAGGTGTCGGGCATCGGTGGTTCAGTGGTAGAATGCTCGCCTGCCACGCGGGCGGCCCGGGTTCGATTCCCGGCCGATGCAATGTTTTTCGCTTTGTCGCAACACAGCCCCATGGGCTTTGCCGATTGTATTTTCATTCCTATCGAGTGGTAAACAGTAACATCAGATAGCTTATCATTATAAGCAGCTCGCAACTCGCAGTGATAAGAGTTTATTGAAGTTAGAGACGATACTACAACAGGCAGGAGAGGTATATCGTTCTTGTACTTCTTCTAGCCGTTGATCAATCCCTTTGTGGGATGCGGCACGCATTCTACTTCCATTCAGAATCGTAGTGGCTTACTTGAATGCGATGTGGCCTATACAATGACTTGCGGGGCTCTGTTAATGTAAAAGCACTTTTCTCATTTTCTTGTACGAATCTGGTACCATTCTACCTTCTCCGAGAGTAGAATGCCTAGTTGGCCTGAGCGAGTTAAAACTATTCGTACTTTAAAATTTGTGACCATATTAACAAAAGTCTGATTGTGTGCCTTTCAGCTCTTCATCCTGTTCAATATCGGCTACTGGAGCTATTTCCTCAGGATCAGCCACCATGATGCCGTGCTCAACACCGATTTTTGACCAAACCGTTGAATCTGACTTTACTAATAATTCAATCAATAAATCTATCCATATCAGTATCTGCCCCGTGTCGCCCATCAGGTGTTGCGTTCGTTCCAGTCACATACTGTTTCCAAACGGGTAACACCTTTTCTTTCTTCAATCCATCTAAGACCTTTACGGACCTGGTGTAACTGGTGATACACTTTGCGACACTTTAAGCACTTAACTAACACCTAATTCTTGGAAATTTTTTTCCGTGAGCGTCATTGCCAAATCAATAATCGATTGGATTGCTGTAAGGTATTCAGATGGTTACACAATGGCTGACATCGACTACTTTTGGGGACGGCAACGATCAGATCGGCAACAGAGTGCAGTAGTGTTCGGCAATTTCATGCTGCCACAATTCAAACAGACCTGCTACCATGTAAACTACACAAAAGCCACTACATCATCAGGTGGGACGGAATTTCACATTTACAACCAAATATTTTTACTTACAATTGGACCAGATGTTTATTGGGATTGATTTTGCCGCAGGGCACATCGTTGTTGGGGAATCCCCAACAGGGGGTCGTATTTGGTCGCCAGGAGAGGGGGTCGTATTTGGGCTGAGAAAAATTTATTTTGATAGTTGATTTTTCTCGCTTCATGGACGTTGTAAAGGGGAGGGGAGGTCGTATTTGTTTCGTTGTTGGAGGGCGGCGGCGGGTCGGTGTTCATTTTTATTTTACTCCTGGACTTTATCCGGAGAGGTTATAGACTGTTCTTACTTTGCTGTTTCATATGTACTATACACTGCCCCCTTCTTCCGCCCCCCCCCCCCTCGCTCACAGCTACGCATGGGACGCACGAGGGCCGGGGGGGGGTCGTACGGACTCGACAACGACCAAAATCCTCAGCAACTGGGTGTGCCCGTTTTTGCCGTCGAATTCCAAGTTGTCTAAAATTTTTTACATCTCTCTTTTTTGATCGGAAAATATTGAGCTATTACCATGACAGTAGGAAGGTGAAGGGGTCGTCAATCAAAAAACCATGTCATTAACGTGTTCGGTGACGTCACTAACAGGGTGACTTCAGTGAGACGTTATCTATCTCTTAACAAGTAACGTATAACACTCGTACCGCGTTTCCCTGCTATGACAGCACCGAACAGATGTTTCATAACTAGACAGAAATTTGTTAGGAAGTTAAGTAAATTCGATATACGGTTCCTTATTTCAGGTTCATATAGGCGTTTATACTTCGAAATTCTTCTTGTCCGAAATATGGGTTTCTATTCGATGAATATTGTCATTCCGTCTATGCTCATCGTTACTATTTCATGGGTGAGTAGCGTGGAACTTGTTCCTGTTTATTTGGATTTATAGACTTTGACAATATCCGACCACACAAACCCCCCCAAGCGCGCGCTAGAGAGCCGAGTCGTGGTGGTGGGGAAACGACTCCACAACCCTGTTTTTGGAAACTCAATATACCACGTACACATTAATTGCCGCAAACCGATCAACTGATTGTCAGTGTCAACAAGCTCAGAAACGCCGAGCGTGCTGACTGCCACACTAGGATCTTATGACTTGTTAGGCTGCGTTTATACTTTGCGGCAGCGTAGCGTAGCGCTTCCAGCGTACGCCAGCGGCAGTGCCGGGAGAGGATGCATATCGATCTAGCGTTCCCAGCGTCACCAGCGTCACGCTAGCGTACGCTAGCGGCACGCTTTTCTCCAGCGTTTCAGACTATGGGAGAGCTGGAGGGTACAAAACACATCGATTGCGCGTCTCTCACTCGCCCTTAGTCTCTACAATGCACATCGCTTCTGCGTCTCCGACGGCCACATAGTCTCTACAATACACGTCGATTCCGCGTCTCTCACGGCCACATAGTCTCTACTCCCTGCCGCTGCAAGCGCTAGCAAAACGCTGGTGCCGCTGGAGAAACGCTGGAGAAACGCTCGAGAAACGCTGGTGAAGCTAGATCGATATATCCTTTCCCCGGCACTGCCGCTGGCGTACGCTGGAAGCGCTACGCTACGCTGCCGCAAAGTATAAACGCAGCCTTACATTTCACTCAAAGGACGCCATCGTTTTGATGATCACAACGGGGAGGAGTCGCATTAGACCCCGCGAGGAAGAGGGGGGGGGTGCCGTATTTGGTCGTTGTTGGGAGAGGCAACTGCCAAAGATGTATACAACTACTATTTCCGATAGTTGAAAATGACAGTTAATATCTTGGCAACCTCATTTTGGGTATATGCGCTCCCCGCTCGACGGGAAATTCTGGCTGAAAAAGTAAAATTTTTTAGGAAAATTATGGTAGGAGAGTTTGGAAAATCTAGGGAAAGTGATAAGGTAAGCATGGGGTCCGGGGTTTCTGAATTTGAGGATGGGTCGTATTTTTTGAAATGGCCACAACGCGATGGCAAGCCCTGCTTTCACTTCGTCAACTGCACTCGACATCCCAAAGATTGGAGGTGAGGCGTGGCTGCGTATTTAATTTGAACATTTCGTAAGTCCGTTTTTTTTGTGGGATAATTTCATTTGAGACAACCTTCATCCTCTATTGTGATGGTCAAAAAAACGTAACCGTAACTACGTTCAAATGAAGTACGCAGCCACACCCTCTCCAACGCGGAGCTATGGAACTTGTAACTTAACATGGTTAAAAAAAAAGTCAGTAGAATCCAGTTGATCTCCTACACCCTGCCCATGCCAACAATATCTGCTGATAAACTCCAGCTAATGCTTTCATCATTTAACACCCATCATTAATCGCTTTTGTCAATTTTTAGCGCGGGATCATTCTTTCACGGCCATACTGAGGGGAAAAAAACAGGCCAAACAACGAGATCAGCTTCCTGAAGCGCTTCTCGCCAAGGATGGCGTCCTCTGCTGGTAATTAACGTGATCCTCGCACGCGATGTTGGCCTTGGAAAATGGCCAGGAATGATGGTTATGGTCACAACTGGGTATCCATCTCTGGTAATAGACATTGTCAACTGTTCTAGAGCTATGGGCACGGGGAATCAGTGAAAATGCGAAATGGCTTTCCCGTTACGCGAACTGGGCCGATCAGGCGGTGTCCTCTACCAGCGTTCCTTGAGAGTAATCAGAGCAATATTCTTGCTTATGCCCCAATTACATTGTTTTTCTTAGCTGAGCCTTTACACTACCCATGGTTCGTTTTCAGGTATCTTTCTGGTTGAATCGGGAAGCGTCACCGGCTCGTGTCGGCCTTGGTGTTACCACTGTGCTCACAATGACCACTCTCATCACCACAACTAACGTGAGCTCCTTTTCATCTTAAAATAATATGAGACTCCAAATCGTATCCACTCGAATCCTTTTCTATGACGAAAAGGGGCCTCAAATAATTACGTACATAAAATATGACATTTTCTGTAAAACTCAGAAGTTAAAACTAGTAGTCGCGTCCAGAGTTGTACGTGTGCAACGGTGATTGCCATGACTCTGGTCGCCATGAACTCACTCATTCGGGAAAATGGTCATAGATGGTAATTGTGGTCCCGTTTGGGTATCCACGGCCGACAGTATATATTTTTTGTGGGTGCGCTAATTAGTAGGATTAATGGAACGAACGCTGATTCTTGGAGAATACTCCCTGATTTCTCTGGTTTTGGATGGTCTGGGAGCCCAAGCAGGTAGAAAGAATGT